CCCCCCCCCGACCTCCCCGGGGACTCCCCGCGCCGGGATAAGCCCGCCATCCCTCCTACTCTCCTGTCCCTATCACTGCCCAACTCGACGGCCTGGCAGCGTCTGGTAACCCCCTATACTTGCCCATCTTGGACCTTTTGGACTTGGGAGACCCTCGAGTGGACAACCGCCCAAAGAGAAGGAAATGACGCGAACTGCAGAGCACGGCGCGCAGCAGAGCGGAGAGCGGGCTGCGCCGGAGGGAGGGCGCAAGGCCCAGACCCGACGGGCAGGCCCCTTTAGCTACCTGGACGGGGCCCATGGTGTCACTAGGAGAGTGCGGGGGTGCGGACCGCACCGAGTGACAGTCAGAGGGAGAGGGAGAGACACAAAAATGACTGTCTATAAACTTTGCATGTTTCAGCAGGAAGGTATTATTTTTTATAAAAATACCCCTGTCGTTAGGTGCCGTCCAGTCGGCTGCGACTCATAGCGACTCATGTACAACAGAACAAAACACTGCCTGTCCCGTGCCAGCCTCACGACCCCTGCTATACCTGAGCCCATGGTTGTAGTCACTGTGTCGGTCCATCTCGTAGAGGGCCTTCCCCTCTTTCGTGGACCCTCCACTTTACCAAGCATGACATCCTTCTCCAGGGACCGGTCCCTTCTGACAACATGACCAAAGTAGGTGAGATGAAGTCTGGCCATTCTTGCTTCCAAGGAGTTAGTCACAACATAAACATTTTTCCTAAGCCAGCTTCCAAGTATTGGTCCACCTGCAAGGGAGAGACTCTGGGCTAACTGACTTTGGGAACATTGTAACGCGCTCAGCCCGAGCAGTCACTAGGCCCCAATCACCGTGACCGCTTGGAGTCACATGGTTTCATGCCCCCCCCCCCCCGGGAGTGCGGTTGTTACTCCCCTCTCCCTGCTGTTTTTTCTACACCCTGATTTTGTCAAAATGCCTGGTGTTTCACTACAATATCATGGTGAGTAGTGTTTGTGAGCTTGTACCAAGAACTACCTTGAGAACTAGTCGTAATTAAAGGGAAAGGAAGAACATCCAGACAAGCTTCTGTGGAGTTGCTGATGATGGACCCGACTGTGCAACTGAGTGCAGCAAGATCTCACAGACCAAGCTGGTAGCGTCCAGGTAACCGGGACACAGCCCGGTGACAAGGTAAACCATCCCACACTAGTCTGTGCTGACAATGGACGGTAAACATCACTGAGGAGTCTGCATGGTCTGGTACGGGAGGAGGTCCAGGGAAGGGTCACATCAATCCTAGTGGCCCCAAAGGGTGGAGTGGCTGCCTCCTCCACCCCTGTCCACCTGGCCCCGAACCGCCTGGAGATCCATGTAACCATCAGACAGGTTCAGTCTCACACACACTAGGCCCAGGCACCAGCCTCCCCCTTCATCCACCCAACCTCTGTGAGATGTCACCCCCACCCCTGTCGGGGACCGGGACCCCACCCCACACACAGCAGTTTCTTGTCATCAGTCCACACGACCATTGCCCCCAGCCACTCTCCTTCAGCTGCCACTGCCTGACTCTCTGCAAGGCGTTTGCCACCATAGGTTGCCTCCTCCCAGTCTTCCAGCCACCAGGGCAGACTGCCTAGTGGCTACTGCCCCAGGAAGCCGATTCAACCCCTGTCCCTAACCTGGCCTGCAGCCTTGAAGGAGTGTGGCAACCCTCTGACCCTCGGTCTCCATGCCTCGGAACCATTGCATGCCCCACAGAGTATGAAAGTACCCCGAGGGTATTAAAGGGCACAATAAGGGAAAGACACAGTGGATCCTCGGGGGCCTCAGCAATGGCTGTGGGTCCCCACTCTCTTCATAGGCTTGAGTGGCAGCTCCCTCACAGAGGAAAGAGATGCCCCAAACCAGAGCCTCTCAGCTGCCATCTCGCAAACCAGGACCTCGCCACCCCACTGCCCCCACTCCCCTCTGAGACAGTGGAAGATCGCACGTTCTCTCCAATCAAGGAGTGTCAGAGTAACACTGCGGACTGGGCAGGGGTCTGCACCACGGAGCGGACGGGGGTCTGCACCACGGGCTGGACGGGGGTCTGCACCACGGGCTGGATGGAGGTTGGTACCACGGAGCGGACGGGGGTTCGCACCACACACTAGACGCTGGTCTGTACTACACTCTGGACAGTGGTCAGCTCTACACACTTTATGGGAGTCAGTTTGCTTTGAGTGATGCCCAGAGTTCTGAGAGAAGGTTGTGCGGACAGAGGGGTCACTGGGACGTGACAAACGAGGAGAAATTGTATTGACAAGGTATTGAAACAAGGGTTTTCACTGTGAGCTTAATAAAATCAGGAACGCGCGACCTCACAGACTCCTCCTCTAGTCCTGGCTCTAAAGCAGCCTGGACGTGAGCCAGCTGGCTGCCCTCACGTTGTGTGCCCTTCATTGCTGTTTGCAGAACCTGACCCAGGGCGGGCAGGACACTCAGACGGCCTGGAGCAGCTGGCTATCATAGAAAGCAAAGATGCTGATGCTGAAGATGTCAGAGGACATGGGAGGGGAGTGTCAGAGCGGCCAACAAGCAAGGTAGGCCTGGGCTTACTTGTGCTTACTCGCTCATCTGTAGTGAACAATTCCACCTTCGTTCTACCACATCAAGATCCTGCTTCGGGGTCTGGCTGGCGACTCTCTCTCCCAACCCCACAGGACCTTCCTACAGAGTCAGAGCCTCTGTGCACGTGGGCAGTCCCTGACAGGGACGGAGGACCAAGGCAGCAAAGGGGAGCACGGGCTTCCTGGTGTTTACTTAGTAATCTGTAGGGAACATGCTTTTTGTTCACTACAGGTTGTTAAGCACAAGTAAGCCTGTGCTTACCTGGGCAGGTGCTCACAGGACTGTGTGTGGATTAAACAGGAAGCAGAGTCTTTGGAAAATGCTATGCTGGTGCTGGCGCTCTTGGGGGCAAAATGCACACGGCCTGCATAACATGAAGGTGACCTGCGCCCTACTGAGCTCAACACCAACCCCTCAGTGCTGGCCAGCAAGCGGCAGGCACGCAGCTTCCTTCCGCTCGGGTGCCTCAAGCAAGAGAACTCAACACCAGTTACCGGGGCCGTAGGAAGCTTTCTCTCTCAGAGTGAAAGTCCGGGGCAGGACTTGGGCGGCCTAGGGGTCTTGACCCAGGTGCCAAGTAGTGATTGCCATCCAGCTTCTGATCTGCTTGGAGCCCCATATCAGACCCAGCTGTCTACCACCATTAAGAGAGTGACAAGGCCAGCCAAAGCAGAGAGAAGGTGGCAGTACAAAGCCCGGACAAAGGACCCAGATCAAGGTCGCATAAAGGACAGGGGACTCGGAGAAGATGAAGATGATGGTGCATGTGGGGCTGGCAACCAATGTCACAGAACAAAACGTGCTTGAGTGGGGAACCAGTGCCCTCCGTAAACTTCCGCCCACATCACAGTAAAAAGAATACATAAGGAGCTGTGCGAAGTCAACAACAGGACAGTCCGATTTTAACAAAGGCTAAGGTCACGACAGGGAGCTCTGGTAGCACTTGACTACTAACCAGAAGGCTGGCTGTTCAAACCCCCAGACACTCCTCGGAAGGAAGGTTGGGCAATCTACTTCCGTAGTGATACTGCCTCAGCAACCTAAGAAGGGGTCGCTATGAGTCAGATCCAACTCGACGGCACATAACAACAACAACAACAAGGTCACGACAGGCTGCACCCACGGGACAGCCAAACAGCCAACAAGCACAGGAGAAAGAGTTCGACCCCCTCGGCCGCCGGGGAATGATAATGAGAACCCGATGCTCTGCCACTGGCGACCCACAGAACCGGGCAAGTGTCAGACATGGGATTTGCAAACACGTCCTCCCGTTCTCTAGCTTTCCCTCTCGTTCTCCTAACTCTATTTCTCAGAGCAAAAGTTCTAACTTTTGAGGAAGTCCAACTTAAATGCTTTAATGGTTTGGACTTTCATCTAAGAACTCCTTGAGTCCAGAGATTGTCTGTCTCTCATTCCGGAAGCTTTATAAAGCTCTAGGCTTTATAGTTCTAGGTCTATGAGCCAATCTGAGTTCAGTGTTTAGTGAAGAGGGAGGTATGGGCTGAGGTTCATTTTAACCTATGGGTATCCCATTGTTCCAGAAGCATTTGTTGAAAAGAACATCTTTTCTCTGTTGCATAAGCTTTGTAACTTTGTCAAAATAGATTGAAAACATGCAGTGGTGACCATTGCAAAGCATGGGTGTAATTACTGTCACTGAACTGTAAATGCAAAAAACGTTTAAATGGAAAATGTTTTGATACTCTTTTACCATCATAGAAAAGAAAGTTATTATGCTTTAAAAAATTGATTTAGTTATAGTACACAAAAACTTTGTTCAGCATCCTGATTCAGTGAGTAGCATCTTAAAAGCTTGCAGGCAGCCATCTAGATGAAACAATTGGTCTCTCCTCATCTGGAGCAAAAAGGAATGAAAAAAACCAAAGACACAGGCAAGCAATTGGTCCAGGGACTGGTGAGCCATGCAAACCTCAGCCCATGTGACCATGAGACCAGAAAAACAAGATGGTACCTGGCTGCCACTGTTAACCACTCAGAAAGGGATCAGTGCAGGAGATCCTGGGTAGAGTGGGAGAACAA